CGCGCAGCACCCGGCCAGCCGCACTCTGGACCTAGGCAAGCTCGGCCGCGACGAGGACCTCGGCATCCATGAGGGCGCCCCGGCCCAGCTGCGCGTGGGCGGCTTCACCGCCTTCTTCAAGAACCTCTTCTTCAGGGGGGAGGACACCCGCACCAGGCCACAGCCCCGCCCGGGCATCGGCGATGGCTCCCGCTACACCAACCCGCTCGCGGGCCCCGGCGCTTCCGGCGGCATGGGCATGGCGAGCTCCGGTCGCCTCGGGAGACACGCCGCTGCTAGCTCGCTCGGCAGCTTGCAGAGCTATGCTACTAGCACCATTAGGGCTACTAGTGGGCCTATTCCCAGCTGTCTGGCCCAGGGGAGTACGAGTGAAGTGGGCATGAAGAAGAGGGTCTTTGTGCAGAAGGATATGGTTGACGAGCCCGTCTTTTCAAAGGAGATGAGGGATCGCACCCTGTTGAGTAAGAGGCCGGATAGGTTTGCTTATCCCAATTTTGCCCTTGCCGAGTTTGGAGGGAGAGATACGTGGGCGAGTGATGTCTTCGTCTTGCCGCATAACGCTATTCGTTGGGAGATCATGGACTTGTATACCATCATTTCCTCCATTCAGAGGCGTTGGTCAGCCTTGACCATGGTCGATGTGTGGGAGCTCAGTGAGTACTGGGAAGTATTTGAGGTCTTTGTGGCCCAGTACTTTGAAATTGAGGACCAGATCGTCTTTCCGTTCCTACTTGATCTGGCCAGCGATTCCACTGAACTCAACCGCTACCATAAGGTCGTCAAGTACAACAGAGATCGCCTCGAGGCAATGCTTTTGGACGTCGGTGGTACCTTGGAGTTATTCAACTCAGCTCCAGCCGGCGAGGTCTTACCCAAGGTCTACAGTCAGCTGGCCGAGTATCTCCCAAAGCTCCTGGACTACATGGAGCAGCAGGAAGATGTCCTTCCTCGCGTCTTTGAAGAATATGGCCAGCCGGAAGATAGGGCCCTTATTAATCGCGCCAGCGCCAATTTCATCGTCCGCGCTGCCAACGGCAGGGACGGCATCGCCATCCTCACCAGGTGGATTGAGGACTCTATGATTTTGCAAATGTGGAAGAACGAGAATTTGAGCTCACGGGCCCAATCGTCTCACAAGCGATGGATCGCAAACCTCGAGTCCAATCATGTAGATATTGCTCGCCGCTTTCAGCGACGGATGAGAAGCTTGCCCAAGTCTGACAACTTAGAAGGAGAAGCCCCTCGGAAGGCAGACCGTGTCGAGATTAACCGTCGCTCGTCCAAGCCCAATCTCAAGGGCATATCGAGGCGTGCCTTGCCGACTCGCTAGAGTAGTATTACGTTGGATCCAATCTGAGCATATAAGCATAGTTTTTGAATCGGGGGGCATTTTGCCGTAACCCACCTTCGCGTTGAACGCAGGGAACGAAGACGCAATCTTTCTTAACTTGTCTCGCAGTAGGGGTAGAGGAGAATAAAGTTGTACGAATATCAGTCTTTACACATGGATGACGTCAGACCATCACATCCGATTCGCTTCGCATCCCGTTGCTCGACGAGTAGGAAGCCGGAGGGGTCTTCGCATACAGCTGCCCATGCAAACAGAAAGAGTTGACTGACGCAACCAAACCCTCATACTGACACCCTTGGACAGAGACTGAGTCCCTCTGCAGTTCTTGTCGCGTTCGCATTCTTAAGTCACAAGTAGGAAGAAAGAAAGTACTGTACAGCGTTGCCGCTCCACAGTCAAACGCAAGCCTGCCCTGGCATGCCGTCGCCCAGTTGCATCGAGATGAAGCTCCTTATTCCAACGGCAGAGGTCTGCAGGAGGGGACGGCTTCGCAGGTGTTCCGATCAAACTGGTAAATATCACCAATTGATCATTCGACATCATCAACATCCAATCCTGATTCATAGGATCCTCTCTCCCATGTCGACGCTCCAACGACAATTACAAGACACTTAACCATCGACCACAAGACTTCGGCTGATGCGCCGTCTCCTCCCCCTAGAACCTCACAAAGCCCCCTGATAACGTCCAGCAGCGAGCCATTCCCGTTAGTCCTTACCGCATCCAAAGCGAGCTCGACAAACCTGTACTCCAGGACGACCCATACCCATGGTAAATGGGCTCCTACGGCGGCCAGCGGCCTTAGCAAGTCCCTCCAGAACTTCACCCCGCCCACACTCCTCGCAGTGCGCATGGCGAGCATCATGAAAACTACACTAGCTACTCTGCCGCTCACGCCCTCCATTTCCATGCCGAAAAACATGGCGCAAGCCGCCGTGACGCCCGCGACCGACGTGGTGGCGTCGAGCCAGTCATCGTCGTGCAAATAGGCGCTTTCGTTAATTGCGCCAATCAAGGCCATGACAGCTGCCGCAAGCGCGCGCTGTACGCCGAGCGCATCGAAAGGCAAGCCCGAGGGGACGAGCAAGAAGTTGTATAGGGCTCTGCGCAGATTGAACAGGGCGGCGGGGCGGGAGACCGACAGCCGCAACGGCAGGAGGTCACGGAAGAAGGAGACGAGGTAGTCGGCGACGGGGTTGGCGGGGAAGAAACGATGGGGCTGCGCGTGCGGGAAGGGCGGCGGGAATTCAAGGACGGTGGTGAACAGGGCAAGAAGGGCTAGAAAAGCGGCGAGGGCGGTGGCATGGGCTGGCTGTATGCGATGAGGTGATGATGCTCCGGGGAAAAGGGCAACGCGACGGCGTGGCGCGCCGGGAAGAAAGACGACGAGCGGAAGGACGGCGACGACGGCGAGTTGGAGAAGGCCAGAGGTGCGGCGCGGGTCGAAGTGTAGCGGCGGGAGGCGGGAGGAAAGTGCTAGGTCAGGGGCGGCGGTTGCCAGGGTGTGGCCGTCGAGAAAGAGGGAAAGTAGGAGGATACGGAGAAGGACGGAGGCGGTGGGAAAGGCATGCAGGACGGACGCGCCCAAAAGGAAAGGGAGGAGAGGAGGGTGGGCAAAGGTGAGGGGGAGGAGGAGACAATGGGGAAAGGTGGGGGTGGTAAGAGGGGGGAAGAGCGAGGGCATGGTTCAGTTAGAGGTGGGAGGTCATGCTGCAGGTTGAAGGAGCGGATGGGATGGCGGACGGAGGAGACGGGAGAGGTGATGGGGCCCGGATTTAACGGATGTGATGGGGATGATCCGATGGCGGATCAGGGCCGTTCCTAACGACGAGCACGGTGTGCTAGCACGCAAGCACCCTGACATTTGGCATGAATGGATTGGTTGAACGGGAGTAAAGCATTTCCAATATTTTTTCAACCAATACATTCATGCCAAGTTTCAGGGTGCCTGCGTGCTAGCACACTGTGCTCGTCGTTAGGAACGGCCCTCAGCACGAAGTACCGGATGTGGAAAGGGCACAGCAAGAGTCGTTCCAGGCGGAAATATCTCGTGTAGCCTTTCGCAGAGTGCCAAGCGGCGTAATTTAATTGGCTGTAAGATGCCCCCTCGATGCAAATCTCCACCTGCAAATTTGGCCCGTTTGAAAACGCTCTCGCCTTTGCGAGGGGGAATTCACTTACTGCGTCACCTTCGCGACACAGCAGCCCCCAGATATCCACGACACCTCCCCCTCCCCCTTACCCAATATGTGCCTTTCCAATTGCCACGCCTTCCTCCCCCCCTCTCTCCTCGTTCTTCCCGTCTTTCGGCCCCGTCATGTCCCTCCCTCTATGTCAACTCCCTCGCGACCGGCCCACCGCACCGTCAACGACCGCGCGAAAGACTTCCTCACCCAACGCGCCGTCCAGCAGGTAAATAACCCCGTCTTCTCTCTCCCCGTGCGGCACCCTTGTACCCACGCTTACCTCTTCCATAGACCATGTTCTGCTCGCGCGTCCTGCGTGACGAAACCACCTTGCATTGGCTCGAGGACTTCCTTGACCACCACGGATTGGACGACCTCCACCATTGCGACGCCCTTCGCCTCCCAAGCACAGAGTATCTCACCCGCCTTCTAAAGGAGCCGCCAATCGAGCTCCTCATTCGCAAGCCCATCCAGGGGCGCACCACGAATAAGAACCCCTACATAAAGCGACGCTATTATGAGTATAATGTCGACATTGTGCCGCGGAAGATCGGACGCCGCGTGTTGGTACGTCGCAGCTAGCCACAGGGCGCCCCATTTCGATGACTATTCGGCGGCGCAAATTCCCTAACGACGAATCTTTGTTTTGCTTTGCGTTTGCTTGAATGCGACAGGAAGCCAGAAAACAAATCGCGGAAGAGCTCACAGCAGACATCCCCTGCATCTCCGCCGAAAACACTCGTCTGTTAGAGCTCTACCGCGCCCGCGTCTTGCTTGACAAGCCAATCCGGCTCACGGTTGACATGCTAACTCTTCCCCCGAACGGCGACCGTCGTGGCTCCCCCTTTCGCACCGCCAACTTCGACCTTGTCAAAAACTACACCATTTATCTCGGCCTACATTCCGCAATTCGCGAGCTCAACGTGCGCACGGCGAGCGAGGACGCTCGGTGGCTTGAGACATTTTTGGCGGAGAACGGCCGGCAGTTGATCCGCCCGTATGGGGGGGAGCTTGGGGCCGCAGACGAGATTGTTGAAAAATTGTTCTCTGCGAGTCCAGCTGTGAGAGAGGGGAGGGGAGGAATTTTTGATCCGCAGAGATTGGCGGAGATGGTGCTGGAATTAAGAGCCGATTGTGCGGAGGAATGGCTCAAAGCTGTTCAGGGGGCTGATCAGGACCAGTTGGATCTTGAGAGGCGACTGTTGGAAGAAGAACTTTAGAGTCTGGGCTTCACTTGTTGTGACGGAAAAGTGGTGTCCGTGGCTAAATAGGGCGTGGGGTTCATGTCTGATATGATCTTAGGGCTTGTGCTGACATGCTAACCTAATGGGTCATGTGTATGGCTCTTCCCCTCTTCGGAGAAGAGGTTGACCATCTAAGATCAAACAGTCATCTGAAGTTTTCAAAATGAGGCTGGCATCCGTAGACGGAAGCCATTCATTCGCACACACAAGTTAATATATATTTTTGCACAATATAGTGTACGGTGTAGCCCTGTTGTCGATCCTAATCACTTCTTCAATGGCAACCGAGAAAGAAACCCCCTAGCCTTGTTCGTTAAGCTTGATTCGGAGGCTGCTCTTGCGGACTTACCACAAATCCAATCCTTTTGCTCTGACAGAGCTGTGTATATTGCGCCCTTTTTCACCTCCACAATCAGAAAACTTGCCAGTAGTGAAGTATATCTAATGTACGGCTCCGAGGAAACACGGTTACACTTATGCAAGGCGGATTCTGAATGAACGTTTGAAAAGTGTTTTTAGTCAACTGTGAGGTACATTCCTTAGTTATTGAAAGCCTCGGCAGTTGGAAGCTTCTAAAATAAAGTCTGAGCCACAGCCCACTGTGCCATTGTTTATATCTTGTACTGCTTCCAAGTTTAGTAAAGGGTACGGCAGCATCTCTACATACTCCTATTGATTGCAATAAGAGTATGTAGAGATGTCAAGAATTCCTAATGAACGGCAACAAGAGCTGTAGGGAGAATCTCATTATCTTCGATAGCAATGGTTTTCCCAGTTCATACAAGCACTGCAAAAGGATACACCGATGGGTGATATGAGTTTGACAGAAAGAGGCTGACAAGATTCGCCGCGGCCCGGTAATATGAACACCTGTCGGGGGCTCCGGGCAGCATTTAGAAAGACGTCGATGTAGAGAGAGAACTCATACTTGTTGCCAGACCAGGGGCCACTTTGCGCGTTTTATCACTTCTGGCAGCATCAACGAGCAGTGAATGATGATCAGACAGATGCTTGTGCGAAGCACGTTTGCACAAAAAACTCGAGCTGGAAAAATGAGAAACTTTTCAATCCTTTTCACACGCTGAGCATCAAGATTATGGCCCTGATCTGGGATGCGTGGATGATCTCCCTGCGTAGGACACAAGGCAGCGCAAACTAGTAGAGACAAAGCAATACGCAAGAATGAGCGCGGAGTTGGAAAAGCAGCAAAGACGGTTCTCGTTGTCTGGCAAGGTAGCCGTAGTGACCGGAGGTCACCGCGGCATCGGGCGCGACATCTCGCTAGGCATAGGGCGAGCGGGCGGGGATGTAATCGTAATCGACCGCAAAGGGTGCGGCGACAGCGACGTGCCCTCGGAGCTACGTTCGCTCGGGCGGCGGTACTGGAGCTTCACGGCGGACTTGGGTGACGAGAGTTCGCTGCGCGCGGCTGCGGCGTCTGCCAAAGCGGCGGCCGGGCAAGTAGACATCCTCGTAAACAACGCCGGGATCGGGCACGTGGTGGGCCTAGCCGAGGAGAGTGCCGGCAAGTGGGACGAGATAATGAGGGTGAATCTGCGGGCGCCGTTTCTGCTGTCGCAGATGTTTGCGATGGGGGAGAACGGGATGCTGGAGCGCGGAGCGGGGGCGATCGTGAACATCTCGTCGGTGGCGGGCAGCAGAGCGCTGGAGGGGCACGCGGCGTACGCTGCGTCCAAGGCGGGGCTGGATATGCTGACCAAGGTGATGACGGTGGAGTGGGGCGGAAGGGGGGTGCGGGCGAACGCGGTGGCGCCGACGGTGGTGCTGACGGAGATGGGGCGCGGGGCGTGGAGCGGGGCTCGCGGGGAGGCGATGAAGGCGCGGATCCCGGGCGGGAGGTTTGCGGAGGGGTGGGAGGTGGCGGACGCGGTGGTGTTCCTGGCGTCGTCGGCGGCGGCGATGGTGAACGGGGAGACGGTGGGCGTGGACGGGGGGGTGCGGGTGAGGTAGCGGGGGGTGTTTTAATGTGAGTTAGAAGCCGCGGGCCTTGCGGGCGAAGACGACGCGGAGGTTCTGGAGCAGGTGGGACTTTTGGTGGCGGCGGATGGAGGTCTGGCGGGCTTGGCGGCGGGCTTGGCACGGCTTGATGTTTGCTTTGTAGCGCAGTGCTAGCTTGGCGTGGCCGTCGGTCTGGGCGTGGCGGTTGAGCTGGCGCACGGCTTCGTTGATGTTGCCCTTGACGACGC